CGACACCCGTCTTGTCGCTTTTCATTGGGGTTCTGCTCTAGCGCTTGAATAGCGATGTTGCTTGCCTTGGTGTATGTTCAGTTCACCTTTTTCAGATTTGTTCGGCAAAAGGCTGTTGGCCAGTCCATTGTCAGAGTTCCTTGTTGCTTATTATTTCTAGACTTCATAATAGTTCAACTTTTTGAAAACTATTCAACATTACTAAATACCATATTCAGAGGGAATTCCCTGTGAAGCACTAAAAACCGACTCAGAAACTGTAGCGAATATGCTCACGCCATTATTGCAAACGGTTTGGAAAGAAGGGAAGGTGTCCACCAATTGGAAGAAAGGCTATCTCGTCAAGCTACCAAGGATGGGCTACTTAGGCCTGTGCAAGAACTGGCGTGGAATAATGCTCTTGTCCACTCCAAGTTAAATGATGAGTCGCATCATCCTGGAGAGAAAAAAGGATGCACATACTCTACCACAGTGTCCAGGTTTCATCCATATGTCTTGGCTTTCGACTTTACATAGCTGGATTCACTCATTATACATAACTTCCCTGAACATCCTGTGAACTGTCTTCTTTATTAGTTCAGATATTTGAAGACTGTGTTTGTAATTCCCTAACGATTATTTTTTACATAACTTATTTTATTTGTACAGTTACCCTCATTTCGTCCATCAGAATGAGGTTTGAAAGGCTTTCCAGTCAGCAGCTGAGGTATGTTACCGAAATCGAATCTATTTTAACTTCGCACATTCATCATCCGCACATGAAGCAAACAGCAATAGAGAAGGGTACAGATGGAATATTGTGCTGTTATTCATTCCCTACCTTCCAAATGGAACCTATAGCTTAGACGGTACATCTTTATTACACTCAGCTAACTCCACGACTGTTCAAATTACTCTCGTAACCTTATCCCAACTTGTCGTTTCCTATTCGGCTTCCACTCGAACGAATCGCATATGACCTAACTTGAATACCTCTTCAGATGCATATATATATATATATATATAATATTGTCTTGACTGGCTGAAGTATTGATGCAGAACTTGCTCTAGTGAATGAGTATAACTCAACACTTTTCAGACAGTCATACACAATCGAAGAAGGAGCAAACAGAATAAGAGATGTCAAAATGAATGCTTTTAAAATGAGGAAGATGGCATACTGTAAATGACTCTAAGCCATATTACACTAAGTTATTAACTGTTAATTCTCAACATCTCTCCCTTTCCCCCACCCTAACATAGTTCATAACACCAGTCAGTGGTTTCATAAACCGGTCTGATGACATGTAACCTTTTTGAAAATGTGATCCTATATCACGTAACATTGTTTGTCTAATAGAGCAGTAATTCGCTTTCCTGTCTGCTGACTGACTCATCCTCCATACAAAACAATATACCCTTAAATCAAAAATCCACACCTCCTAATATGAGCATTTATATGATGGCATATGCTATCAGAAAAATCTGATCTGTTTCTATTCACCCCTATCAGCAGTAACTATTATTAGTGACAGCCATATGCCGAAATCATGGGACGGTGCGACATTTTAGTCAGACTACCCCTGACTTCTTTCCATTTCATTCTACTTAAATTAACGTGTTTTATCAAGGAATGCGACACCAAGGAATGCTACAAACGTGTTCTCACCACCTGAGCTGATCAAGATTCCAAAATTTCTTGAATAATTCATCTTCAACTGCTTTACTTCTTTTCGTACTACTGAAGGTAAATTAGTCCTTAGTGTTGTTTCTTAAGAGGGAAGGAATTAGATAGCCGTGGAAATGTAGAACAACGCTGTGACTAAGTGGTCACTAGCCTCGCCTCATTACCGGAATATCCTTGGCCCAATCCGTAGCGGCGTCATAGTTGCTCACTGAAATAAAAATCATCTATCTATCTATCATCATCATCATCAGAACTTACCTGAACTAATCTATATTTTCAATTTAGAACGCTGCATAAGAGTACAGCAGTTCAAGTGGCTACACTTCATTATTTTAACGTAGATAAAGGAAATGAAGTACAGAAATGCAAAAAAGAAAACTATAATAATAGAAGTGTGCAGGAAAAATAATGAGAACATGGTGAATAATCTCGATTTAATGGATCTAGAGATCAAAAAGAGTAAATACCTCTCAGCTACTGAGAATGGTTCTGAACCATAGTAGCAACAGTCTCACTCCATTGGTTCATAGTATCCAGAAGACCTCAGTCAAGCAGTTTACATCACTCTACTCTTTTACAATTAAAAGCGTTCTCTGAGCTGGTTGGTTTAATCGCGAAGCTTTCGTCGTCCTTCCGGACAACATCTTCAGCGCCATATTTATCACGAAGTGAAGTGATTTAAATTTTCTCATGCATGATGTAATTGCGTCTCCTGGTTACTATCTTCACATATGTATTGACCACTTTCTATTGACTAGGATTTTAAACTTTTTGGTCACCTGATTTACTTTTTATTAATTGGTATACTTCATCTATATTAACGTGTTTGTTAATCGCATTTTCGCTTGAGTACCAGGCCTCTAGGAATTCTCTGGCACTTTTCGTGTTTCCTCTGTTTAAGATTTTGACATGATCCCAATCAAACTGATGACCATAGTTGTCTGCATGCATTGATACTAAAGAATTCATATCATGTCTTTTCACGGCTGATTTATGTTCTTGGATTCTGATTCGAAGGGGACGCCCACTTTGGCCGATATAATGCTCGTTACAGTTCATACAATTTATTTTGTAGATGGTATTTATTTTATCCCCTTTTTCTGTTGGATCTTTCGGTTTGCATAATATCGAATTAAGCGATTTGACTGGCTTGTGTGCTATATCTATATCAAACGGTTTCAGTACTCTAGCTGTTATTTCAGAGATGTTCCTCATGTATGGTAGAATGAATTTCCTTGTGGTCTTAGATGATGGTTTCTTGTTGGTGTTTTGATTCGACTTTAAACACTTTTTGATGAAATTTTGTGGATAACCAGAATACCATTCTCGAACTAGCACACACTCACACACATTTATGACTTTGGAATGTGAATAACTCATTCATTCATTCATTCAGCAGAAGGATGTTCTTTGTTCCTTGATCAAGGATTTACATGGTGAAGTCAAAACATTCATCGTGCCATTTATCCAGAAGTGTTTCTAATCGAAAACATTTGAAACAATAATTGTGTTGTTATTGTTGTAGTTCATAGACAATACAAAGTGTAAAGCTACAATGTGTAAGGTGGTAAACGACAGCCTCATCATGATCTCCATTGAATATTTTCAATTGTTTATCAACTGAGTACTTCTATACTCGTTATAAAGTGAATTCAGTCAGTGCATTTTATACTGGATTAGGATATTCATTTTTCTCACATCAATGTTCTCCTTCATTGGATAAAACTTTTCCTTTTTCCTGCGAAGCTTTTTATGTCAAGGAGAAGAGAAACAGTCAAATCTGATGAAGAGCGTTTCTCTGTGACAACAGGTGACAAGACAAAATTTGATTCAAAACAACAGATTTTTTTTTGACTATCCATAACTGTATTCCAACATTATTGCTTCTCAGCTAACATTGCTTGACGAAGGGGGTAGTAGCTCAGTATGCCCAGTACGTGACCTAGTAAACTTAATCAATGTATTCAAGTGTTGGTTTGTAGGGATTTGATTGGTTACAGGAGTTTCATCATGAGCTGACATTAGTTACAGAACCATTGTAAAACCTGGGAGTACTGGACAGCTGTTTCGTCTTAGTTTGGGACTCTTCACAGTACGCACCCAACAGGATTCGAACTCAGTACTGTCCAGCACTCCCAGGTTTTCCAATGGTTCGCTAACTAATGTCAGCTCATGATGAAAGTCCTGTAATCAATCAAATCCCTACAAACCAACACTTGAATGTCAATGAGATGCTCACTAGCGGCTTGCCCTATTCAGGTAGGTAGTTACCTGGGATCCCAGTGAGAAGTCGTGACCAGTAGGGTGCAGCAGGTCGGGTGTGAGGACAAATACTCGCCGAAGACATTGACTAGGGGTCGCGCTATGTCGTGAATTGGCAGAAGTTAGAATTCATGGGCTGGCCATTGGATCGGGTCCCAGTGGCTTAATGGTCTGCGAGCTCGCCCTGTAACCATAAGGTCCTGGGTTCGAATCCCGGTGGGTGCGTACTGATGACGAGTCCCAAACTAGGATGAAACAGCCGTCCAGTACTCCCAGGTTTTCAATGGTTCTCTAACTAATGTCAGCTCATGATGAAAATCCCTTAATCAATGTAGCTTCATAACTTCATCTATTGGCTTGGCCTGCTTACCTAACACTCAACGTCTAACCCCAAAGTGACTTACCATATTACACTACCTAACGCACGGGATAGACGGCCGAATAAATTTCCTTTCGGATTATAACCCTTTTATGAAATTAAATCTGTCGATAAATTAATTATGCATAAGTAAATCTCAAACCTCATTCAGCAAAACATCAAAATATTTTATTGTAAAGATTACATGGATAATAATAAAGAACAAAAGGTACTTAAATAATGAGTGAAGTTGTCGAAAATTCTCAGATATAACAAAATAGGATAAATGAATTCACAGTACTACTACTACAAGTAGTGCAATAATACAGTTTATGCAGTTTAACATAAACTTTTCAATTACTACTGATATATCTTTTTAGTAATATAGAGTCAGCTGAAGCAAAAATTAATTTTTAAAATAATTATTACAAGTTATTTACACGTACACCGGTCTAGTGCTTATGTATTTTTCCCTCTCTGTATATGCATATATATATATATATAGTGTATTAATTAAACGAAATTATCCTATATTTTTGCCCTTTGTTCTATAAGCATGTAGGGCAATTCGTTTCTAACTCTGTAACTATGGTGATGATGATAATAAAGCAGTCTAGGATGATATTAGTATTAAAATAACAAAAAAACAACAAAATTTAAGCGAATAGAAGCGATGTGCAAATAATTCTGTCAAAAAAAGATGGAGATTAGTGTTTAGCTTTGAACTGAATTCCCCTGAAATGGTTTTTTAATAATTACGCTTTTTATCCTTCGTTTTAATCTCTGTGTTGTTAACCTGGTTGCCACTGACAACTTTGGTAATATTGACAGAGACTTTAAAGCATAACGTAATGACTGTTTAGAGTTTTTATTTTTCGTTACATTTTGTCTTGTTTTAACCGATTCGGAAGTCAGTGAACGTTGGTCAGTTGACTTGGTCGCGTCATCATCATCACCATCACACTCCATTTTAGGTTTTGCTATCGTCTGATCTTTATTATTGCTGTTAATATTATTATTATTACTGCTCCTACTGCCGGCAATATTTCCACTTTTATTTGTTTCAATATTCAATGTTAAATCTACTATTGTATCATCGATTGTCGGCGTTACTTCCAGTTTCAGTAACGGTAGGTAATTGAATTTCTCCCCAAGTATTTTACCGTTTCGCTTAGTCAACCTAGATTTGTTACAAGCTTCACATGTCTCGTTATTATCACCATCATGTTGGAATAATTTCTTCTGTTTGAATTTGTAATCTTTTTGGTGGTTTTCTTCTACTTGTCTTGTCCGCGATAATAAAGGTGTTGTCAATATCGGTGATGGTGTCATCGACAAACGCGTCAGTGGTGTACGGCCTAATATTTCATTATTTTGTTTAACTGAATTCCTGCTATATTTCTGTTCAGTTTGAATTTTTCCATTGTTGGTTTCATCTAAATCACTAATTCCACAGTTATTATGACTATTTAAAATAGTTGATCTTAATGCAGGATTATTATTTAGATATAATTTTAAACCGTTTATCTTTAGGTGCAATGATTTTTGTTTAGGCAACTGAACCTTATTACTGTTTTCCTTATCAATCTCCAAGTGGTCATTTTTCACTTCTTTAAGCTGTTGTTGTTGTTGTCGCTGTTGTTTTCTCTCAGCATAATAATAATAACAATGAGGATAACTGTGCACATCATCAGTGAAGAGTATTTCACCAGGTTCGCGTGCATTTTTAGTGTGGAAGAAGTGTTTGAACTGGTTGTGTAATGAATAGGCGTTGATTTGTGTTGACTTATTACATTTGACTGGATTACTGATTTTTTCGTCAGTTCTGTTTAATTCATTGTATTGATTCTGAAAGTGATGTACTTCCTCCAGCTGTTGATTGTCGCCGACATTCTGCACAACCATCTTATCATCATCAGCATTATTATCCTTATTGTGTACAGCCTGACTGTTCACTTGTAGTTTGCTCAGTGAATAAATATTATTCTGCGTTGTTAATTGATCCAATGAAACAGAGGAAATTTCACTTATACTATTTATCTGGGGTGAATAAACACCAACAGACAATGGGAATGTTTCCACCAATAAATGATCAATATCTAATCTGAAATTAAAAGAAGGAGAAAGTGAGAGAGAAAGAGTCAGAATTAGAGTTGACAATAAACATTTGCCAGTGTCTGTCTTTGTCTTATAGGACAATGATTCTTTCTAGTTTAGAAAAAAATGTATTCTTTAAGCCGAATCGTATGAACTGAGCGACGTTCATTAACCCTCTGGACAACTTGTTGTTCAATGCCAACTTGAATATACAGTGAGCTGTAAGGATTCTGCATAAATGGAAAACTGCAAAATTTCAGGTTAGACAGCCTTAATCCATCAATGCAGATGAAAACAAAAATTGAGGAGAGTCCAATGCAACGAATGTGTCGGTTAACTTTCTTATAAAAATGCAAACCAACAGCAGCAACAACAACAAAACAACAGACAATTCCACAAAAAGAATCAGTGATTTTGAAAACAGAAACAAAAATCAAGGGTAAAATTAAATGGAGTAATATAAACAGTAACAGTTATTGTTGTTTTGTTGCTGTTGCTGTTTTTTCTCAGTATAATAATGACAATAACTGTGCGCCTTATCATCAAAGAGTATTTCGTCAGGTTCGCATGCATTCTCAGAACTTTTATCGGAGGATTTAATCGAAAATGTGCCACTTTATAGAAGGTATGCAGATGATATTGTAATCATCAGTGATAAGTCTTGTTCTGTCACCTTAATTTTACATCGAATGAATGTAGTTCAGAATAGCATATCACTTACATCTGTAGAAGAGGAATATGATTGTTTATCTTTGCTAGATATATTGCTTAGTCGACGGCTTGATGAATCAATAAGACGATCTATCTATAGAAAACTCACCTGGGCAGGACAATATCTTAATTATCACAGTTTCTGCCCTGTTCAGTACAAAAGAGCTTTACTAAAGTGTCTCTTCAGGAGAATCCAAAAAATGTGCGCTGAAGACACACTCGATGAGGAAGAAAGAAATTTGACACAAACTTTAGTTGATAATAATTATCTAGAGAAGTTCATTAGGAGATATAAAGTAAACAGAACATCAAAAACCCACTCTCCAACTCGCAACTATGAAAGACGTGTACATTAAGCTACCGTATATGGGTGATAATAGCAGCTTGGTAATTCGACAGAGACTGAACACTGCGGTTGAAAAGACTTTCTATGCAGCTAAGATCGTAGTAATACATGAGAATGTGAAGCCCATATATCTATCTAACCCCTTAGGACATGCGAAAAGTAATGTCACGTCCCACTGTATTTACCAATTTGAATGTATGTGTGGACACAAATTCTTAGGGAGGACTCGTCGATCTCTGCAAGTAAGGGCTTCAGAGAATAATCCTGATTGGCTTGAGAAGCAAATAGAATCATCAGAACCCATTAACGGTGAGAACAGGAGCCCTAATCCCCTATCACGAAACAGTATACAGGCAGGACATAAAATTGACGTTAACACATCTTTTAAACCTATCCATCCATAAAACGTGTTTCGGGTGTACATTACACGACTCAGACAAATTACGTCTTATTATTACTTTGTCGAAGTAGCAATTAAATTAAATCAAATTAATTTAACCAATTTCTACTATTCCTTATCGGATGTCACAGATCAGTAATCGACTGCCCAAGAAAATGTTGAATGAGTCAAGTAGTACTGAAAACAAGTGGTCAACTAAATAATGAAGAATGTCTGCTATCCACCTAAAGAAGATGTCAATATGTAATCAGTATCCAAAAACGAAATTTTGAAAAAAAATTGAGAAACTTCTCAGTCAAGAGCACCTGTCAGAGTTGAATAAACCTATTATGATGTGACTGTTAGATGACACATGGGACAAAACTTGCAGTCTACTTAAAGAAAACTTGACTATAATCCCAAAGTGACCAAGTGGAGAAGCACTGAATGAATTTAAACAGCAAAAAAACACCGTCACAAAGAGAAAAGCCAGTTTTTGCGAAAAAGACCTAAATGTGATACACTACTGGTGCTAACCGTGAATCGTTATTTAATTTGTCCAGATCAAATACTGAGATACAACAAGAAGTAAATATAACAATCTAGCTAAACTTTGATGAAGTCGAAAAAGATCAATACTTAGCTCCTCACTCAAAAAATAGAACGACATAAAAAGCTTGAAGAACAGAAAGAACATCACTGTACTATTAATCGACAAAGGAAGAAATATCACAGTCACTGGTAGAAAGGATTAGAAACTTGACGACCTGATGAAATATATAAGTATAAAACTTGGGTACTCTGGTAGAGTATAACTCCATTATAGATAAGATTATATATTGATAAAGTGTCACACAGTGCTATGCAGTAATTACTTAATATTACTGTATACCACTGTGTGATTAATCAAAATAAAATCTTATCTATAATGGGTTGATGAAATATAGTCATGCATAATAACTGCCCACAGCAATGATCATTCAAACATTCGACATTCGAATCAAATAAAACCATTAGCAAACTCATCAAATGAGGAGAAATTAGAAGGTAGGATCATTGGGGAATCTAATGTAGTGGGTCTATAGTATTACCCTGATTTTTGGTTAGACCGAAATTGCACAAATCAGACATCCCTCTACAACTAATCTTTTCACTTTCACTTTAAAGAACCGTACTGGAAACGAAGATGACCAACAGAATCGCGAGATTACTGTGTAGAATCACTAACTCAGTTTGTGGAGAAAGTCACTGACATACAACTGGATGGCAGTAAAGTCATGGGTAGTTAGTTATTGACTTCTCAGAGTTATTCACATATTTCGGTTGTACACACAATGACAAAAGGAAGGGGGTAGAGACATCTCAAAGATGAAGAGGCTTCTCTGGAAGCACAAAATTAAGACGTTTCAGTTAGATGAAGCTCACATATTCATATCTTGTAGAATGTTTTCAGTTCATTTTTTAAATATGTGGAAAAGGAAGACAAGTAAGCTATTGTAATTCGTTGTTGAAGATAATATGCAAAAATTATAAACCATAGTTCTGATCATTTGTTATACTTGGAAGAGTTGATTTCGAATGAATTCAGAACCTAGTAAGTAGCAACAAATTCTCACGGGAACAGGAATCAGGCAACAAAATATCACTTCCTACAGAATTACAATAGCAAAAATTCAAATGTGTATACAAAAAGAAACCATAAGCAGGCATTATTCGAAAGAAGATAAGACAGTGTATCACTCTTGTCGTCAAGAGAATACAATGAGAAATAATCTCTCATTGTCTTCCGAAAAAGTGAATATCGGTACAACACTTCATGACAAGCAACCTTAATTTAAATCAAACAAATTCTGGTTTAATAGTACTACTTTGATAAAGCTATTAGCAGCAGCATTAAATAGCGAAACGTCAGTAAAAACAACAATATCGTTTTTTTTCATTCATTCATTGGAAAATACAAGAAAACATTTATAATAATGAATATGATATACCCAATGCCCAAATTTTTTCATACTGTTAAAAGTGAACTTGGTTTGGACATATATAAAAGAATGTAAAACCATATTCCAAAAGTTCACGGATGATCACCTTAACATACATGAAAGAAGTCCTCTGATTTATTGTCGTCCGCAAGCCAACACAGTCGATTCATTCTGTACTGTGTAGATTAAAAGAGTCAAACAGAAAAGTAGGTAAAACCAACTTCATTTATGAAATAAATTGCTTCAGCAGTACTAGAGTGACCAAAGTGAACGTCTCTTTCAACTTTACATCTATAAACAGAAGTTGACTGTCAAATGACATGAAATACATTCCTTCCATTCACTGCACATAAACAGTTATGAAGACGAAATGAACTGAAGTAATCTAAGACTATGAAAACACCTAAGAGAACACCTAGCCAGCATTTTAAGCACTCAGGCTGTTGTGTAGTCAACACACGTGACGATATGGATTAAGTTTATCAACCGATAAATAACCAGTTGCAAAAAGTGGACGAAATGATCAGTACTATTGTGGTGAGAGCTGTCTACTAACCAAATTGGTAGACAGTAATTTACGTCAATATTTACGTTCCCAAGATTTGTCATGAGAAAATGTGAACAAAGATTGATTCAAAACCGACCACAGCAGACTTTGCGTAGGCGGATACAGTTAACATATAGATGATCTGACATTCAAGAAACAGTCACAAAGAGATGAAAGATTAACTTTAAGTGAGAAACAACCAATCAGATGACTGTGTTTGTTTGCTAAACTAATCTATAATAATGTAGATGAAAATATATAAATATGCTTTGATTTCCTTAATAAATGATCTGTTGCCTGGCCCTTGTCTTCTGTTGTTACACCATAACAAGTGGTAAGATAATCTCCTGAAACATCCACTCATAAGCAGTATCCTCAGAAAGGACAGTTATTTTGATTCATGGGAAATCTCATGAAAATCAGGTGTGGAAATGTTGTCCACGGGAACAACGAGAGCTTCACAATAAAACTATCCTACTCAAGGATGGCAACAAAACCGAAAAAAGATTTTGTTTGCGCCAAGCAACTTAAAAACAGGAAGTCTGTGTTACAAAATCTTCCGATCAGTTATCATGCACTAAGTAATAAGGTATATTGAAAAAAAAGTATATCTACTACTTTTAACATTTTTCATCAGTTTAATTAATCTCTCATACTGCTCTACATTTTGATTATCTAGGTCCCGGGCTTACTGCTGATTGCCTCCAACCATCTAATGCAAACAGTTCACAGTGTATCGTCATGACAAGCCACCTAGCATGGTGGCCACAATGCAAACTTGACTGATAGAATTTATAGAAAAGAAAAGGCGTTCAGCAAAGAGTTACTCTTTCCGGCGATATCATTCTCAAGCTGTACAAACCGCAAATTTATAGTAATTTTTCTTGGCAACAAAAGGAATATTTCCAAAGATGTGTTAATGCAATAGTTAAATTTTGACAACAAATTACGTAATTTAGAAGGCGTTAATCGGTTAGAAACTAAAATAAAGTTACAAAAGTAGGTTGGGTGACGTAATCTAATTGATAGGGTTCAATGAAAAATGAATGAGAGTCAAGTTAATAATCTGAGTAGAATTCACTTGAAAATGAATGAGAGTTAAGTTAATAAGCTGAGTAGAATTCACTTAAAAATAAACGAAAATGGAGTTAGCAACAGTCGTCATGAGGGTAGAGATTTAATAGAGGGTGGGGGTAGAAAATAATGCAATTAAGAAACAGACAAACAAAGAAGAAAGAGGTAAGACAAAATTACGTATTTGGTGTTAAGATAGATCAGGACCATTGTAGATTTAGTGACTGAACAAACTTCTTTTGTATGCAGAGTTCAGGATTCAATATGTGAATTGCCATTGCTTCTGCAGTTTGAAGAAGTTTAATTCGTACTCTTTTGGCAAGATTCCCACGTATTGTGTAGATAACTGAGAAGTTATTTTGTGGGTTTGCTTGGTGTCCGGATTCCTTTTGTTGCCAAGAAAAATTACTATAAATTTGCGGTTTGTACAGCTTGAGAATGATAGAATTTAGTCTACACCAAAGATAGGACTAGACATACCCAGTCACACACAGACACACTACACTAGTTAATGACTAATGTCCAATCAAAAATTTTGATTACATATATTTTTCAGCCCACAAAGTTACCTTTACTTTGAATTTCACTCACTCATTATAACTGACAGTATTAAAAGAGCACTGATCTAATTCATGAATTGATTGCTTCTTTGACTTGAAATCCAAGCGGTTTTTCAAAGCTTCTGAAGGAATATCATTCACTACGAGATGATTATCAATATTTTTATTCATTGTGGAGTAATTTTTAAGATTTGCTGATACTTTCGATTGATTATATTTGATATTATCTTTTACAGAAGATAAATTGGGTAAAGATCTAGTTTCACAAAGTGTATTACCTTCGTTCTTATCAAATATTTTCAAATTATTGATTTCTTCGAGACTTCTAGATTTCTGGTGATAATCAGCAGACGTTGAATAAGCATTTTTCAGTTTGTTTGTAATATATGAATAATAATAATAATATAACAATAATTGTATATTTCCTCATTGATCTCAACATTTGGCGAATGAATAGTTTTCACTAGACTGTCCAAATGTAACGGATCCTTATGCCTAGTTTGTACTTCATTTGTATATTCTTTATGGTGTTCAATAGAAGACACCTTATTCTCTGTCAGATTATTCAATGAAGGCATTTGACTGTCAAGAAATCGATGCAAGCGCAAATCTTTCACTGCTTCAACATTTTTTCTTTCTTCCGCTATCTTCACTGATGTCTGTTTGCAGTCCATGAGGAGTTGTAGTGAATCATTGCAATTCGGTGATAGTATAAACATATCACCGTTTATTTTGTTTATGGGATTACGAGTCACATTACTGTCAAGTGTATTTTTAGTAGTAGTTGTATGTTGGGAAATTTCACAACAGTTGGAAAAGTGTTCAATTGATTCTTTCTTGGCTTGTTGAGCTTTCACTTCATAAATATGTACTTTGTGTTGCTTCGTGGATAATTTTTCATTGAATAATTCTGTAACATACTTACCAATGAGTAGAAATCTTTGATTTACTAATGCTCTAGGAATATATTTTCTTCTTAGATTATTTCTATTCGCTATGCTTTTTTTTGCTATTCGACTTGATAATGATAAAATGACAGTTTCAACTGCATACATGTTAGTATATGTGCATGAAGCAGTGCTGAATCTATCCGATACACTCGTTGCTTTTCCACTGTGCATGTTAAAATATCCTCCTTCGAATGTTTGTAATTCAGTATTATTATTCATTGTTAGGTTTACGCTGTCGATTACACAGTCTTCCACTGTATACATGAATTTCATTTGAGCTTGTTTATTCAGTGTTGAATTCCGCGGGAAATTGACGCTTACGTTCATTGGTGAATCTATCATCTTTTTACCGCTTTTATTATAATCATCTAATGAAGGTGTTTGGTAACCGTGCTTCCTTAGGTAATCGTTATGATTTAATGTATTGCACAAACATATATGAGGATTGATAGAAGTGTTGTTCAATCCTTTGGCATCTTTTGTATAATACTGTTCAGTTTCCTTGATTGGATCAGACTCTTCACAGTCGAGATTCAACAAAAATCGGATAGGAAATTAATTGCAAATGAAAAATACTCAATATGATAATAATAGTAATAATAAGCTACCTATATATTTGCCTATCAGTTGATAACACTGAAGGTGATGGTTCAACTAGAGGAGCCATGAGGCTGAGTGTAAGCGTCCTCAGTAGGTGTTTCCGACACTAACAAAATATACAAACACACAAATACAGGATAATAGGAAGTGATAACCTAAAAAAAAGAAGTTGACCGTTTTCAGATTTATCTAGAATATATATAGACGAACAGCATCGCGTAGTTAACTAGCTTGCTTGCTAGTCTTCTAGCCGGTACTAATGCTGGGAAAAGAGGGAGGATTGTGCGTGAAACTAGCAACCCTACATCACAAAAGCTATTAGACTGCTAAAGAAATTTCAACGTTCAAAAAATATGTGAAAAATACAAAAAAAATTAATCAAACAAACTTATTGTTCACTGGAATCGCGGAGGCCAAATGATACATACAGATGGTTGTTGAAAGCCTTCCGGGAAGCCAGTTAGCCAACTGATGTATCTTCTTTAGATGACAGCAAAAATAAACATGGGGGCGTGGAATTTACGTACAATATACGAAGTCAGCTGTGAAGGCTGCCCAGGTAGCTAAGGAAATGAGAAGATATGGAATAAAAGTGTGGGTATCATCCAGAGCAGATGGAATGGATGCGGACTATCGAAATTGTCAGCTGGAGAGTCAGTAATCTACCTCGGTCATCTAGACGACAACCACGAGCACACTGAGGCAGTGAGTGGCTGTCATGATATCAACAGTGGAAACCAAAGGACTAATGCAGTGGGAACCAATCTCATCCCACAGGATAATGACAGCAAGATTCAACTCAAAGGAAAGGAAGGAAGGTTACACATGTCCGATGCTACGCACAGTGATACAAAATTGCGGAACAAGAGAAGGAAGATTTTTACAGACTACGAAAAGTAATGGACAACATCCCAAATGGTGACGTCGAAATCCGTATAGGCGGTATGAATGCCAACTAAGCTGGGAACAAACAGTACAGGGAGGGAACTCATCGTGGATCGAGAGGCTGTCGGATAAATAAATGACAACGGAGAACTCTTCTCAGACTTCTGCATCTTCAGTGATTTGGGGCAGCGTGTACAAACGCTAGGATATACACAAAGCAACATGGAGTTTGTCCGACGGACGCGCCACAAACCAAATAGATTCCATATCAATCTCAAGGAAGTGCAGACGCAGCCTGTTGGGTACAAAGTCGAGAAGGGGAGCAGATGTGGGCTTCAAACACCATTTAGTTCAAGGAACCTTCAAAGTGAAGCTGAAATTCATGAAAACAAATGGCGACAAGCAATTGTAATTCAAGTTAAACATTCAGAAATCGAAGGGCAAAACTACAAGAGATGCATTCGCTGCAGATGTCAGAGAGACGCCGCATACACTACATGGCATTACTGAGGAAACCTGCGTGGGGGAACACTGGAACTAACCCTCTGGAGGTGATGTTCAAGGAAACGTGTACAATGGTTTTAGGAAGAGAGAAGAGACCAGACAAGGAACGCGTCTCAACGCATACCTACCTAGAAGCTAACAGAAGCGAGGAGAGGAGAGGAAGATGGTGAAAGAGAAAATGACTCAATGCAAAGATGCACAAGGGAAGGAGAAAGTGAGTTCACAGCACTTTACACTGCACAGGATAGAGAAAGAAGTGAAGAAGAGTGCTAGGAAAGACACACTGACAAATCAAGCGGGACATGCAGTGCGCAGGTAAAAGAGACCTCAGAACTCTGTATCATATAACCAGGCTGCTGGCTATCCTGGATGAGATCAACTCAGATGATAAAACCAATAAAAGATGCTCAAGAGAACCTGATTACCAAGTAGGATGGTGAGGATGAAATGGCCAGAGGCCGGACAGAAAGAATCAGCAACAAGAAACTCTGGCTCGCAACAAACAAACAAGCGAGAGCCTATCGCTAAACCAATATGTAGGAGAAAATGGAGACGACTTGATCGTGCATACATTGCAGAGGCCGTTGAATGACATCGCGCGCCATGCAGGCCATTGCTTAAGTGTAATTTGAATGGGAAGTGACGGATGGGTAGTTTGTGCGAGTGTGACATGTTTGAAATCGTCTGGGGAGGAGTAGATGAGGGATTCTGGTCAACCACTGAGCCAGATGAAGAGGACAGTAGAAAATACAACAAAGTTGGAATGTGTTGTTGACGGCCTATGTTCCACTCAGAACCCATATAGATGAACTTCCTATATCAATCATGAAAAGCCTATGTTCCAATATATTTAAGGGTGCATTATCTTGAGGTTGTACACAGAAAACATTTAGTTAGTATGAACTGTAGTACATTAATGAGATGTGAGTTGCCAAATGCTGGAAAGTATTCCGGTGTCAACAAAGATTGTCAAAGTTAATTTCTGTGATGGAATGGACCTGACTAGCCTCTTAAAAAATTTTAAACTGACTGTTCAATTCAACTTCTCAGTGATCTGAATTCGACCGATTACACGACTGATAAACTTGACAGTTGACTGTCCAGTATGTAGATTACTTTATTCTAGTCTCTACCGAAATCTGCACATAAATTTGCCAATCAGTTTAGAGTATGAATAGCCCGCATACATCCAAGAAAAATATGCACAGTTATAAAGTGAGCTATGAAAATGGTATAACTCATGCTCATGCCATCCATTTAGCTTCTGCTGTGGTTACTGTAGGATTCATGGGTAATACGCGAGGCAGCTTAGCTGAGTGCTCTTAGGCCTGAAAAAGCCTAAAATCCATGATCACAAGCCGTAATATCATTATCTCTCGTCTCTGAGTCATTTGGAAGCAATACACCAAAAATTTCAATTTTTCGACTATTTGAAATCTGAATGTGTTTTGCTCATCAATCATTGGAGTAGTCGTTCTCCATGATTTTCATTTGATGTTATTTCGTTACGTTCCGAGAGACATATATATGACATCAAGCTAGAGCTCTTAGGTTTTGGTGTCAAGAATGGGTGTCGCTAGCCTCATTCCCTCCCTAGCTTTTCTCTTTACCGATCTTATTACTGGCTTATCGAGGTTAAGGAGTGCGTCAACCAGGGATCAAGCCCTGGAATATCTGTCTGGTTGGTGAGCATTTTACCTCTGGTTAGTTATCACCCCTTTGATATGTTGACTGACATCAACTGATTATTGCCAATAAAATTATAACCACTAGATTGGTGAGTTTATTTGTACCATGTTAAAAATTGCTACACATATACATATATTAGAGAAGAGTGATAGGTGAGGATCCAATTGAAAAGTGGATATTTCTAGGCTCGATCTTTTTGTTCTCTAAATATTCAAACATCTGAAGTGACTATCAACTACTTACTGATTAACAAAACGTATAAATAAATATGTATAAGTTGTGTCAGAGACATGATTTCAAAGGGATTGGCGGCAGCAGCTGAGCTTGCTGCCTAAGTTAATCCTGAGACCAGCACACAAAACGTCAGTGTCTCTAACTGGATTACACTGCAAACAAGCTTACAGTTGCTGATGCCGCTTAAACCATGTTGATGTGTAGGCGAAGAATACATTACCTTGAGAGTAAACTTCCGAGATCCATTCAGATATTGTTGTATTTTCGTCATTCGCTTTTACTGCACACTTATCTGTTATTTCTTCTGAAATGGTTGATTTACAGTCTGTTGGATAGTTTACAATGTCAAATTGTGGATATTCAATGAACTGTAGCTTGAAATTGCAGTTAGCTGGTTCCAAATTTTCTCCGTCAAAGTCTTCTGTTCCTTTTTTTGGTTTCAGTCAAATAAAGCAGATCAATATAAGATATGTAAATTTTGATTTCCAAATACATTTACAACAAAAACAATAAACTACGTGATGAGTTGGTACTATATATAAAAAAATGGAAAACTGTGAAGTATTTTTATGTTTATATGACTGTCAAATTAACCATAAATCACTTCAGAGACTCAGGGATTGACTTGTTACCAGGAAATAATCTCGTTGACTTGGAGTATGCATGAGGATGGTATAGTCCTTCTAGGTGGAGACGCTGAAAAAATGCAGAGTCTTCTGAACACCTTGAGGAGCTGCAATCTGCGAATGTTTGGCATACGATTCGCTCGTGCTGTCAAATGTGAGATGATGCTACAGGACTGACTGGACTACACTGACTCCTAGTTTAGAAATAGGGAGTGAAGTGTTAGAGCACGTTGACCGCTTCACTTATTTGGGAAGTTGCATCAGCCAATGCCAACTGGTTGATCGCTGGCGAAATCTGAGCACGGATACAGAGGTCTAGTTTCGCATATGCCAGTTTACGCCGCCTCTGGCTTAGTAGATGTGATATCCGACTGGCTGGCTGTCGACCAAGCGACGTATGTACTGCTCGGAAGCAGTTCGCTCTGTTCTCCTTTATACCTGTCTGTGAGTGACTCATGGCCATTGAAAGTGGAAGACACGAAAAGTCAGGCTAGTTTTCCTTGATCATAGGTGGTGGTTTATTAGGGTGAGCAATACTGAGGTTAGGCTTCGGTCGAGCATTAGGTGAGGACCGGAAATCAATCGACGAGGCTGTGAAGTTGCATCGATTGAGATGGTTAGGACATGTGTTACATACGCCTAGCAATTCATCGCCTTCCTCGACGGGCAATGTTAGCTGACATAGGATTCGTCAGGCTGGAAAATAGCTAGCGGCGGTCTAACCAAAACATGGCACCAGTCAATGAAATCTACAACAGTTAGTCTAAGCCACGTGGGAAGGTGTAGACTTCCTGAATGGTTGGGGTCCTCGGGACGGTAAACACCAATCGCTGGAGACAATCGGTGTTATGGCTCAAAATCGTTCTCAATGACTGGCGCAGATGCATCCACTCCTTGTGACTTATAATTTCCAATAACACTATATTGTCCTTTGATATTACTGTTCTTTTTGTTTTATATCTCTGTTTATTGTCCCTATTTTGCATTTCTTTTTACTTTCTTCTCTTGCTTTGTGTACTAAATGGAGTGTGGCCACTCGAACTGCTTCACATCGGTGCAAAGTCCTATGTTGAAACCAGTCAGTCAGTCAATATGACTGTCATGATGCATAATTGTGAGCATTCCCTGAAAGGTATGTCATCGTTATGAAAAACAACTTTCGTTTTAGGAGTGGAAACGGTCTACGAGACTACAGACAAAATTAAGTAACAACTGATCTCTTTGAGAAAGAGTCTATCCAATGGGAGAGAATAATCTGATCATTCTGTGAAAAGTGCCTTTTTAATGGATCTATTACCAGACTTTGCAGTCATTTAAGATATATGCATATGTCAAATTAGCACTTTGCAAATTACACAGACTCCGCAGAAAACTTATTTCACTTATGTAGACAAGTGAATATATATTTGGGTTATTGAGAATGACTTAGAGTTACATCAACAAAAACCTCACCAGTCATTGATTTTGAGCGTTTCCTGAAGATGTCAGATAGATAATCTACAACTCTGTATTTGTCACAGACCAGTCAACAGTTGGTGAATTCGTAGAATGATATTATGTTTTCCGCGCCTAGTTGTTTTTCAGACTAATCTTTGGCCTCAGCCTACTATAACGATTGGTAGAAAATACCTATGGTCAAGAACCTCTTTCCACTGCTACATTCAGCTATCAGGTCTCATAGGAGGATTAGCACTGGCCACTTCATTTAATCCATGGATGAAAGACTTTAATGGGACCTTGTAATTTTTTGTGTGTTCGCAACTATTGGTTAATTTCCATGATTAACTTCCATGTTATATTCGTGATACAGCATGAAATGAATACATCTGTAGACCTTCATCGACATCTGTCTCCTATGGTTACTGAAACTCAGATAGCCACCTGAGAAGCATAAGAAGAAAAGAAACACTAACAATGCAGCTAACTAGCCAACAACCAATTGCCTAATTAATCTGCACAAAGAAATGGTGATGGATTGTGCAAATTCTGAGAAGAAAGTTGAGTGGTACCGAACGCTAAGTAGGCCCTAAAGCCGAACCGGAACAGTGAGCGATGAGTTAGGCGTTTGCTGGTAATATGGGGAGAACTGCGTGAAGAGGCGATGAAAGCTTGTTGGCAGTCATGGAGCCAGCTGAAGTATTAATAGTAAATAATGCTACAGTGTACGTCGGTGGCACAGCGGTTAGGACTCTCGCCGACGATGCACGTGGTCCGGCGTTCGATCGCCTGCCAACACGCACTTGATATCAATGGTCGGCCAGCAAAATTTGGGCTACCGATATCAAATGCTGAGAATTCCATACTTGTACCAAAAAAAACGGTGTGAAATCAAGCTATAATCAAAATAAAAATAAATAAATAAAAATAAAATGACAGAAATTTTTGTTCAGAGACGTAAGGAGTCTAGTGAAGAACGTGAAATTTTCTTGAATTATAATACTGAACGTTTTAACACTGGAACTCTGACACATTTTTTCATTATCGATCAGAAAAACATGAAATTATTAGTATGGAGACTGATGATAAAATAAGTAAGACTTGAATAATGTATTATTTTGTACCTATTATGACGATATACGGTTGAGTCATGAAAACATTGGTTTGAACTGTTTGCAGCTGCAGTTATAATCATAATAAATAATAGGAATATCATTAGAAGTTAACTGGTGGATGGTGACTAGCAGTGGAATCCAGGATACGCATTTCGTCCTATTCGGGACTCGTCAGCTGGATATGCCTACACTTCCTCAGTGAGTGATGATGTTCCCACCAAGGCTCGAACCCAGTGCCCATAGTTTCCAACGCCAAAGCGTTATCCACTAGACCACTTGGGCCACGAGAACCATCTCTTGTGCAGCGGGTCATATTAATTAAATTGAATTTTAGATTTTCCCGTCGACTGATAGGACGAAATGCGTATCCTGGATTCCACTGCTAGTCACCATCTACCAATTAAATTCTAATTACATGCCCAGACATGGTCGAAGCATCTGCCCAAGAAGCCGACATGTCAACCTGAGACCGAGCACTTCAGCCCAATCAATAGACGGGAAAATCTAAAACTCATTTAAAATATAATAGGAATGTCAATTATGCTTCCTCATATCGATTTAATTTTATAGGCTGGCTCAGTTTAACTTTGTTAAAACCCAGGGTGAAGAGAATATCTGAGCCACAGAGATGATTTGGACTGCTTGGCTTTAAACTATCGGGTTTAATTTTACTTTCAATCAGCCAATAACAAATCCATGCTGAACTGAAGCTATTTTCAACAAACTGATCAACCGTTAAACAACTGCTATATGCTCCTAAAGCCACCATTTATCTCAGAATGATTAATAATGGTACAACAGAATCTTGCAGAACAGCCAGTATGATAACAGTTAATGAACAGTTATCACTTATTCATTCACCTAGCAGTTAATGTCTTCAATGGAATCAAGGTGTGAGTTTTGTGGATCAGTCGCTAGAAAGTTGGCTGGCTATAATTTTGCACATCCTTACTTTTTCATTTTATTACCGGTAACGAAAGTGATAGAGGTCACATGATCTTAAGTGGTTGGTAGTGGCATTAGCAATGGAGGCCAGGCAGCCTGTTTCATCCTGTTTAGGACTCGTCATTTGAATGTACATTTATTCCTTGTTATGAGTGATCATTTTTCCATAAAGACTTAAACATTTCAGTCAATTGAAGATTTAGAATAATATTTTTAAGAAATATTCATAGGAGTTCAATAAACAATATTTTATAAATATTGCTGATAAGTTATATTTTTACGAGTTGATCACGGATGGATATCAGTTAGAGAACCATTGAAAACCAGGGAGTACTGGACATAAATAACCCTTACAAACCAAACTATAGAAAATTAATCTGATGCTCGCTAGTGACTTGCTACAGGATGGAGTTTCCTGGAGTTCTAGTGAGAAGTCGTGACCAGTGAGGTCCAATTAGAAGTCACGTGTGTGGATGGATTTCCCACCAACGACAATAGTTGGGGTCGCGCTAAAATCACGAATTGGTAGAAGTTAGAATTCATGGGTTGGCCATTGAATCGGGTCCCAGTGGCTGAATGGTATACGAGCCAGATTGCCTTGTAACCGGAAGGTCCTGGGTTCGAATCCCAGTGGGTGCGTACTGCTGATGATTCCCAAACTAGGATGAAACAGCTGTCCAGTACTCCCTGGTTTTCAATGGTTCTCTAACTGATATCAATCTGTGATCAACTCGTAAAAACATAACTAACCCTTACAAACCAAAACTATAGAAAATGATAAGTTATACTCCGTCTGTTGACCAACTACTCACCTTCATGTGAATCGTCGTCTGCATCATCCATTTCGCCAAAGTGATTAACAGCGGAACAGTCTAAGCTTTCACTAATCATCATAATTATTTGATTTTTTTTAATTGCAATATTCACGGGGTTAAAAGAAACAGTATTCAGTGTTGAAGATGGATCACTGAACGGTGTTACATTATTATTATTATTGTTATTATTATTAGCTTCCACAAATGGCTGGTCTCCAATTATTTCATTAGTTATGAAAAGTTCATCAGTCCACTGATGTAAATTTACATAAATATTGTAATATGTCATGATGTTGATTTGTGGAAAGATTTCATTAACATTCAATTGTATTCGGTTGGGAATCTAAATAAACATATAAAAGAAGAAAACATAATAAGAGAGTCTTATTTGATTGACTGATGCGGCGCGTTGTCATATTTTTTCGGGACTAATCAGCTGGATTTTCCAACATCCCCTAATAATCTTCAAACATCACTGAGGTGTTCACGCCATCATGTCAACAGGAACCGGACATTTCGATCCAATTAGAAGCGGTTAGCGGGAAATACAAAGTAACGGAATCACATAAAAAAAGACAACACTTTTATGGAACTGGTTAATTTTAATCTTATCTAATAATTACCTGGCCAACCTGTGTAAGTAAAGCTATTTGACTTTAGGTGACAGAGATTTATAGTATTAGATGATTGGAGGTAGTCGGCAGGAAATCCAGCCTGGCCTAGGTTTTGTGCTAGTTACCACTCACTAGTCAATAAGGCGTATCTGCAGTCACCTTGAAGGAACTTATATCCCTTCTGAGATTCGACCTTGCGTCGGCCAGTACTGCAGTCAGAGACGGTGCACTGAGCTATTCTGGCTCGCGATTGATCTCCTGTAGGACTGTATCGGCTATTTCTGATTGAACACTAGTCAGTGATTAGGGTAATGTGTGTGTGTGTGCCTAGTACTATCTTTGGCGCAGACTGGATTCTATCAGTCAAATTTGCAATGTGACCCCCAACCCTCTAATACCAACAACTTACAGTGCACCGTAATGGCGAGCCACCTAGCATGGTGGCCACATTGCAAACATGACTGATAGAATTCAGTCTGCACCGAAGATAGGACAAGATGCATTACACTAGTTATTACTAGTGTGCAATCAAAAATATCCAATACGGTCCTACAGGAATCATGCGAGCTGAAATTCAACCATCTAATACCAACAATCACAGTGCACCGTAATGGCGAGCCACCTAGCATGTGGCCACATTGCAAACATGACTGATAGAGTTCAATCTGCAACAAAGATAGGACTAGATATACACACACACATTAGACTAGTTACTGACTAGTGTCCAATCAAAGAGATCTGTAGCTCTGAGGGAATTTGGTTACAGAGACATTTTAGAAAAAGTTAGTTTTTCCCTAATGAATTAGATGGAAATACAAACAGTCTTTATGCAGTAACTAGACCTTGTTGCTACGCCAAACGCAAAGACATACGTGTAATTCCATTAATTGGAATTGTTTTGTTGTATGGTTTTAAAAAGATGTGGTATTCATATTTCCATAATTTACTAATTGCTAAAACACTTTAGCAGGTAAATTCTCTGAACCTTGCCAACTTATTTAACCAGCTTTCATCCTGTTGACTAGTTTCCGAAGAAATAATTGTGTTGATAATTAAAGGGCTATCGAAAGCCAAGGATTCTAGTCTTATGGGGAACATCACTAGTGGACAGAATGTAAAAATATACAAATCAACGCTTGCCTTGGATTTCACCTGCCAGCCACCAACTCTTATCCACACTGTGTTTTAAATTTTAAGATGTTAGTTGTGTTGGAAAATTTTTTAGGTTAATAGATAAATATAATCCATGAATACAACTCAGATGATAAATAGAGAGATAGACAAAACGACAGCTGAACCATGTTTTGAATACTGAAAAAATGTCATAAATTGTTATTTGAAGATAAACTGAACAAGAGCCAACTGAATGTTTAACAAATGAAAAAAGAAGTATAAAAGAGCAGGAAACGTTTATTTGAATGTTTGGAATTTCCAAAATAAAAACAGAGAATTAATTAAGTAGCATAGTGATTCATTCTGAGCTTAAAGTTGCAACTGCTAATATCTTGTGAGCTTCATAAAAGAAGCTCATGCACTCCAGATAAAGAACAGAATTCAGATTTTCCATTCCGGCATCAATTCAGTTCTTCTATATGGTTAAGAGAGTTGCTACACGCGCCACGAAAAACATTTCTAGCAGACCACTGCAGACATTTATCAACAGCTATCTTCGCTCTATACTGAAGATCAGTAGTTGGTCAGGGAGAAATGATTAGTAACAAAGAACTCTTGGAGCGAACCAGTCAATAGCCTACTGCTTAAAAAATATCCCTCAGAAAGTGGAGATAGATCGGACACACTCCAAAAAAAGTGTCGGATGACATCGGACACCAAGCAATCGATCGAGTGCAACCCGAATGGGAAACGACTTGGGAGTGGGTCCGTGGATAGCATAGAGTAATTCATGAGATGAGGACATGACATCTTATGGGTGATAGTGGAGCCAGATAAAGATGACTGCAGAGGACAGAATGTAATAGAGATGTGCAGTTAAAGCTCAGTGTTCCACTCGGAACCCAAGGGAATAATAATAAATGAAGGAATCTTACATTGATTCACGCGGATTAAATTAAAAGTCAGGAACTTCACGAGATGAAAATGTTTCTCATTTGTAAGTCGGCTAACATGTTAAACATACATCAGTTTAGATATGATAGAGAAGATTTGTAGCCCAGGTGGATGATTTTGATGTGGTTGTGTTCTCTGAGCTGGATAGTTAATTTGTGAAGCTTTCATCGTCCTACTAGGCGACATCTTCAGCGCATACTTCAATTTGAAGTGAGCTTTTAGATTTCTCCACGAGTTTATTAGTCGTCTGTCTTGGTGACTTTGAACATGATTAGTTGTGCTCGTGTGTTTTCACATCCTCTGGGCTACTTGTATTGGAACTGATTGTTTCTTTGACTAGAACTTTGACCCTTAGAGTGTGACGTTTCCTTCTTATCAGTTGATAAATTTCTTCTATCTCGATGTGTCTATTGATTGATGAATCACTGGAATGCCAAGCTTCTAAAAATTCCCTTGCATTCTTGTTGTTTTCTGTATCTAATATTTGAACGCTGGTTGTCCCAGTCGAATTGATGTCCATGGTTGTCTGTATGTAGTGATGTGAGGGAGTGGATATCAAGTCTTTTCACGGCTAGCTTATGTTCGTGGATACGAAGACGAATTGGACGTCCACTTCGGCCAATGTAGAGTTTTTCGCAATTGATACAATCTATTTTTATCTTTTTTCGATGTTGAGTCTTTTGGTTGACATAGAAGGCTCTCAAACACTGATGTACATACATACCGATGTCCCACACTTACCATATGCCCTAATCTGAGGACGGCACTTAATTCAGTCAAATGGTAGAATTGATCGACCGACCCATTGATTGAGACAAAATTTCTATTCTGTAATCCAACATGAACGAATGAAAATAAAGACTAATAATAGAATCTATATTCATTAAGGTCATGCTGAGTACATGTAACAAGGGTTACTCAGCAGCACGACTGTCAACAACCAGGAATATAATTCTGAATACACGAAAATGAACGAAGAAAAAGATGAACAATGTAAATATGATTACAAATTATAAATACGTGAATCAAAAACAATCTCAACAGTTGGTGTGATCACGGGCAGAAATTTTACTGGAAAAATTACCGGGATAAAAAAATTACCATTGTGTATAAACTCTTGAAAAACATAATTAATTTCTTTGACAGTCTCCGACTGGGAAGAGTGTCAAAACATTATCATATAATGATCAAGCTGTAGAACTAGAATTCACATAGCATCATGAAACCTCGTAAATAACTGACGTCTGAAGTGATGACAGCCAGTGTTTCCGGTTTAGAAACACTCACTACTCAAGATTTTATTACATTTCATTGTGAGAGTATTGGTAATTTCGAGACTGTTTCATTTTAATACTTCAGGAGATTAAAAATTGCTACCAGGAAAACAGCTTGTTGACCAAGATTTACGCCCAACGTTTATATTAATTTGCTGGTATTTCCATCCTTAATTTCAATATTCTTAACCGTTTTGTGCTAACAATTATGAATAAATGACGGTACTATTCTACGAATTAATGTGAGTAAAACAAAACCCACTTCGAACAGTGCTACACGCTAGTTAGACTGAAGTGTTCTAACCCTCATATGGTTGATCTAAGGCGAGTTCTACACGAGATTATTTGTCACATACACATCCCAGTAGGCAAGTATCTGGATTCGGCACTCAGAGACAGATTCAGAATACAAAGTGTACATGATTTTGCTGGAAATTATAGACACTTTCTTCCGACTAGCATGATTAAATGACAAACCTAGGGTGAGTACAAGCTCCTGCAGATTAACTACTTCCAGTACGCACCCACCGGGGTTCGAACCCAGCGTACTGCTGAAGAGTCCCGAACTAGGACAGTGGAAACAGCTGTCCAGTACTCCAAGGTTTTTCAATGGTTCTCTAACCAATGTCAGCTGATGATGAAATCCTGTAACCAATAAATAATAATTGTTTTCAAGACTGATGAAAATATTCAAAATTTCGACAATGAGAGTTGGTGAGGAATAGATGAATGCTGTAGTGAATAATTTTCAGCCATATCAACAAGTCTGTCTGCCTTGTGTAATGTTCATTATACACAATAAAGCCCTTTGATTATGTATTCACAACACCTCCATCCACCGTAACAAACTTTTCGCTTAATTCCATAATTTTAGGCTTAATATCACACACAATTATTAGCCTCATCTATCAGTTATTCACATGCCGTATTCTTTTTTGTATAGTGTACGCGAACTCGAAGAAAATTTGGTGTGGAGATGTACGCTCACACAAACAAACACACAACTAGAACAGCAAAGTGGAGTTGAAGCTGTAAATGGACGGCTAGAAGGATAGATTTATATCAGTAGAGAAAAAAAAGACCGGATTTACAGTACAGAATGATGTCATCCTGTTTCACAGAATCTCATCAGCTGCGGACTACCTGAAATTATACTGGTTATATAAGAATGAACATGCTTCACTCTTGGAATTACAGTAAAGAAAATCAAGTCATCCAAAATGTAGACACCACAGTCTTTTTAGCTCATGTCATCGTCAATTTGTATTCATTCCCATTCTTTTATAACCACTATTGTTTCACGTACCCTGAAGCTGGTAAGAACCTGTAAAATAAGTGAGTGAACAAGTGTTGGTTTTAAGGGATTCGACTGTTTGGAGGATTTCGTCATGAGCTGAAATCGATTAGCGAACCACTATAAAACAAGCTAGGAGTACTGTACAGCTGTTTCGTCCCAGTTTAGGACTCTTCAGTATCACTTACTTCAGGGTTCGGACCGATGACCTTCTGCCTACAAAGCCAGCTCGTAAACCATTAAGCCATTGAGATCCGACGCGATCTAATGACCCGTGAACTGACAAAAGGATGTAATTTCATGCTGTGAAATTGGTCTTTTTGGTATGATTGAATCCAGTTCTCTGAGCAACTAAACTCTCCAGCTCAGAGAACAAAACGACATGAAAATCATCCAGCTGATCTTGAACTAATTTCATATTTTATATTAATTTTTTACTTTACCGAGATTCACCAATGCAACTGCATGTATCGATTCGTCCACCTGATTCGATTCGGTTTTATAATTGATAGTACTATGAGAAAAGGAGACATTATATTCCTATAGTATTTCCTGAGCTATTACCATATTCTACTCTGACTATTTCCAGCCCCCTCATTAAATTTCAACTGGGCAGTGATGTCAGTATGAAAATTTTTCAGGGGAGTTTTAATTATTACTGAAATCTTTAACGTTAGTTAAATGACAAGACTGAACGCCATAATAAACTCTTACTACTTATGTTACTTTAGTATCTTGTTTGTAATTTAACAGATAAAAAAGGATCACTTACATGTTCATTTCGTTTAGGATGTACTCCAATGTTAATGATTGAATTTAGTTGATCAGTTTGACAGTTTTCAATTTTCCGCGATAATTTTATTGTCATCTTTAATCGTTTTCTGTCATATACATTTTTGTTTCCAGTTTCTTTCAAGAATCGTTTATATCTCTTTCCTGTGAAGCGTATAAGTCTCATCAAATAATCCTCAATACATTTGACAAGATTACATTGATGAAAGTGTTGATAACTTGGACAATGACTTTTTGAATTGAAACATAATTCTGCCACTAAATTTAAATTATTCAAAAATAGTGAATCAGATATTTCTAGGATATACTGCAAATAATTTTTTTCATATTCTTTACACGTGTATTTACCCTCTACTGTAGTAGTATCAGGGTTAAGATGTGTGAATAAAAAGTCACCAACAGATTCAACCATAAATATCTTTTGTTTTCTATTAAATAGAGAAGGTAAATGTGGCAACGAACAGAAATTTACAATCATTAAATTAAAACTACTTATGTATAGCTAGCCGTTCATCAGCAGAGGGTAATTTGGACGATTTGGACGTTGATACCCCTAATCCACATGTAAGTGACCTTCATAGTTCAAGGTTTATTGACAGGATATTTTTAAACATGTTTAAGCCGCACACGTTCATTGTATTTATCAGTTATCAACCGAAAAGTCGTATTTTCAGATTATTATTATTATATGCCTTTGTCAAATGAGATCATATGTAATAATATATTAATCAATATGGCTAGTTATTTATATAGGCGATTAGTAAAATTTTAAATCTTCCTCAATCAATAAGGCAAAAGTAAAATACTTCAGGGGATGATATCATGCTGGTATAACATGTGATGGTCATAAAGACTGGATGTAATCTATGAATTTTATCAAAAATTTTATTGTTACAACAAAAGAAGTTTCCTTGAATTCAGTTTATGTAAAAAAAATGCCTTCTACGTATTCAAAGATTTGAATAGAAATCGTTTAATATCTCTATAATACACGTAAAAATAATAAAACAAAAGACAAAACCTAGTGTTAGTCATTAATAACAAATTATCTTCATTTAAATTATGAAATGTTTACAAATGTTAATAGAATTCAGCGTAAAAATGTAAAAGAATTAGATAAAAATGTAAACAACTGTATTAACTCTGTTGTTGATTTCACGCAAACTGATAATGCATCGGAAAATCAAGTGAGCATTTTAAATAATCCGTTTCCATCCAATGAAATAGATGTTTACATAAATAGTTCTAATTCATCCAAAAATCAGTACAAACTTGAAATAAATGAATTAAAAGTAATTGATGAATTCATTGAACGTTTATGGAAAGTTGGTGAAAGAGGTCGTAAAGGCCGTATGTTAACAGAAGACGAAATGACAATGTTGTGCCATCGATCAAGACCATTATTCTTAGCTCAACCAATGGTGTTAACACTACGTGGACCACTTAAAATATGCGGTGATATACATGGACAATTTTGTGATTTATTACACTTATTTGAATTATGTGGTAAACCAGAAAATATTAATTATTTATTCTTAGGTGATTATGTAGACCGTGGACGACACAGCCTTGAAACGATTTCACTACTTTTATGTTATAAATTAAAATATCCATTACGATTTTTCCTGTTACGTGGAAATCATGAAAGTCAGTCAATAACAAAAATTTATGGATTTTTTGATGAATGTAAACGTAGATTTTCTACAAAATTATGGAAAGTATTTATTGAGACATTTAATTGTTTACCAGTATGTGCTATCATTGAAAATCAAATATTTTGTTGTCATGGTGGTTTATCCCCAGAGTTTTTAACACCAGATTTATGCGATTTGAATGATTTAAAGATGAAAATCCGTAGTTTACCACGTCCATGTGATGTACCAGATGCCGGAATATTATGCGATTTATTATGGTCTGATCCCTGGTATATAGACGACGCAAATGATAAAAATACACCAGAACCAAGTGGTTGGGAGGCAAATGAACGTGGTGTATCCTACATGTTTGGTGCTGATATTGTTGATCAATTTTTAGAAAGATTCAATCTTGATCTTATAGTTAGAGCACATCAAGTTGTTGAAGATGGCTATGAATTTTATGCAAATCGGTCATTAGTGACAATATTTTCAGCGCCGAATTACTGCGGTGAATTCGACAATGCTGCAGCTGTATTCTGTCTAAGTAAGATATCAAATCAGATTGAAAATTTACAGCCAACCTTTTGTAACTTAATTAACGATGAAATTGATCAGTCTTTACATAAAGAGGCTGATTTAGAAGGCAGCTTTCAGATAATACGATCTATAGTACCGAATAAAAAGAAGGAGTAGAGAGAGAAAAATGTATACTCACTTGGATCAATGAGAAATAGTATTTTCTGCAACTAGTCAACATTGACACTGATGATGCTGTCACCATCGTCCGCGTGGCTATGGTAGAAAACAGTTATTTATTGTCAGATCTTTTTTATTTTAAAGTAATTGATTTCATTTGAATATTTGAAGTGGGGTAACACAAGAGATAAAGACAGGGGAATCAACAATGTTCCCAGTGTGCATTTCTTTTTCATTTAAAAAATAATTATAAACAACTACTAATTTGTTATATAATCAAGAAGCCAAAATGTGCAGATATCTGTTATAAAAATGTACTTTAACAAAGTTTAAAGTAAGAATCCACACATATTGTCAGTATACCCTATAAATATATGACGATAGACATATTGGAATTTTATATATAGTGAAGATAATTTGAATGAGAGTATTTTGCGCACTTGAATATAATGAAGGGATATAAAAATTACATATTCCATCTAGTTTGTAGTTTGATCTTGAAGACTTCTTGAGTCTCGGTCGGTCGGTCGGTTTTCGACATAGAACTTTGCACATATGTGCGGCAGTTCAAGTCTCCACACTCCATGTAGCACACAAAGCAAGTAGACTCTGTTGTTTTGAGAGGTTTAAGATAAAATTTTCAGTGCCAGTGAACTGATATCATGTTCGCGGTTGGATGTTTTGTGAACTATTTCACCTTTCTTCATAGTGTTCTGTCCAACATTTCAGATGTCGGTCTTGAGAAGTTTCCAGACTTCAGTAGGCTGCTTGCTTGCCATAGCTTTTCTATAGTCTATTAATTTGTCAATCATAACTATTAATTAAGGCGTATTACCCGGCTTCTTCCTTTGCAGTTGCTTCTGCCATGAAACGTAAATAATCATATGCTTGAAGACTTCAGTAGAGCTTAAACTTCAGCAGTTTTGACTTCTTATCATTCTTGGAGCCGATCAGAATACTTTACCTTATATTGACCTTCTTTCTTCATTCATTTCTTTGCGTTTTGCATGAAACAAGCTTTAGACTCTCAAGTTTCAGTGGGGCTTGCGTCTTTATGGGGTGTAGTTGTTAGTCTCACATTCAACCTTTCCTCTTTTCCGGGTTCACTACTGTCTAAGTGAGATTTAGGAGGGTGTCGATCGAGAAAGAAACTGCAGTAATCCACTAAAACCTAATGACTATATTCTTTAATGTTTTTACAGAGAGCTGGATAGAATACGAAGCTTTCACTACTAGATGAGTATTAAAATCACGCTCTGATAAATGTTTAGTCATCGCTCCAACTAGTTTTTAATAAAGTTTTCAGACATCACAGCTTAGCTGAAGCTCAACTTTTTAACTTTACTCAGTAGTAGATGCACAGTTTCATGTGCTAATGCGTTACTGGAATTCAGTCAGGAGGAGTGATAATCCTCTACGACTTACTGAAACTCAGTAATCCAAAGGACAAGATCTCTTAATAGACCAAATAAGCCAGTGTTTTCCAATCCACTCGTGAAGCTACCTATTTCGGTGGTTTAACATGGGTTTTGTACAATAACATTACCCTACGTGGCTAGCGATAGCAGGTGGAAGTGAAACTATGTGAAGCATAATTATTAAAAAAAATTATAGATACCTATCTTAAGGTTAACTATAAAGAGAAATATTATCTGCCCAAATCATCACGACTTATAATTCCCATGTGCGTTCACACCGCTGAAACTGATGTCTACGTTGAAAACATGAAATATAAGAAAGATTAGTCTTGCGTGACCACATAGCTTGTAGGGCGGCCACATAAATCCTAACAGACACCTAGTCAACAGCAGTGGAGTTTGTCAAATTTCATATGTACAACAAAACTTACCACATCCTTACAGTCCCGGTCGTGTAAATTTTGATATATAACTTTGGGTAAAAACATATTCTGGTTACTCATGTCACGGCAAAAAGTTTACATAGATACCTTGCTTAACTTACATGATGATAACAACTACATCTGGTGTATATGTGTAAAACTTGGGCACTGTGGTAGTAAGTAATTCCATATTAGTTTGTTTATTAGATGTATCACACAGTGAGTGAAACAATATTACTATTTACTGAATGACAATGTTTCGAACACAATTCACTTACTGTTCATAATCATATCAATTATAATCCCAAGACTTTGAAACTTGAGTTTTATAGTTTTCTTTGTCTTCTCTTATTTGTCGTAGAGGTAATAGGTAGGTAGTGTTATCCCTACGACAAATAGGAGAAGACAAAGAAAACTATGAAACTCAAGTTTGCAAAGTCCTGTGATTATAATTTATATTATATATATATATATATATATATATATATATATATATATATATATATATATATATATAATATATATAATATATATGGATTATGAACAGTAAGTGAATTGTGTTCGAAACATTGTCACCCAGCAAATAATACTGTGTCCAGTGTCCAACATAACTTTCTGACACCGTAAAACCTACAAAAATATTCGTTTCTTATGGTGTAGTTTGTTTGGTTGCTGTGATTTGCTATCCTTATCACCGGGTCGAAGAAGCAGTTATCGGTCATAAAACCTGAACTTATAGATTCCGGCAAACCTTTTCTAAAGGTCTGTTTACAGTGAATTCTCATTAGATTATCACTTGAAAATTTTATATTTTGACGTGGAAATTCACCACGGATCCTTCTGGAAATCCAAAGTGTTCCAATCACAGTATGTCGTAAGATTCACAGTGTTGCAGTTCAATCCGCGAGTGACTAGTCTTTTCCTGATCCAATCCTGTTATGGACGAAGTCTTCTATTCACAGAATTCCTTAGTCTTTCTGCGATGGTGCTGCCTAATAGTTTGCTTAAGGAGCAGAGAGACATAATACCGTGAATCTCATTGCAGGGGCTTAATTCACCCTTCTTTGGCAGTTTCACAAGGTAACATTTCTTCTACTCGATAAAAACATTTCCTTCATTTCACACTTTCTGAAATAGTGGCATGTGCATGTCCTGTGAGTTGTCTGGTTCTGTTTTCAGTGCTTCTGGGGGAATGTTATCTCACCTGACTACTTCAGTGGCTTTTAGTAAGTTTATTACCTACAGAACTTCCGTTTTTGCCTAAGATTCTCTATTCAGTGATAGTTCTGTATATGCTGGCTGTAT